TACATAACATATGAGCAGACCAGCAGCTGTTATATATTTTAAAAGAGTTAGAAAGTTAGAAGCATACATGGCTATTCAAAACATAAGCAACTGCTTGGAGTCATGGAAACAAGATTCAACAATAAACTTGTATTTGTGAAGCTTCCCAAAAATAATAATCCCACTGGGCTGTGTTCAGGTGGTCGTAGAGTATTGAACAATCTATTTCTATCATTTGGATTCACTAAAACATCTCCCTTGTAAAGGCAGAGTGGTAGAGATGACTACATTTATTAGATATGGGGATTGTTTCTAGCTGATTTCTACCTTCCAGTGTTTGTATTTTTTAATCAAAATAAAAAAAAAACCCTACTTGTTTTTGCCATTTTCTCTTAAACATATTATGAAAGAACTAAAAGCCCCATTAAGGACTAAGTTGTTAATAAAATGTGGAATCTTATCTTATTCCAGGCCTCTAAAGCAAGAATCTTTTCAGTGATGATGTTCATTGTTTGCCCCTTCAAAAATCACCTAATGGATATTAACCAATGTCAAGGAAGGGCAGTAATCCTTACACTAACCACTTACTCTAATCCTGTGGAAGGAAGGACTCTATAAGCCTTTTGGTCCAGCTTCTGAACCAGGAGAGTATTAGGCCCACTCCATCTTCACCACTGTTGCTCTAAAGCTCCCACATGCAGAGAGCTCCATTTGGATCTTTAGTAATAGGCTTTTTTTCTTTTGGAAGTTGCTGTCCTTTCAAGTATAGTAAGGTCTACATGATTGGTCCTTGAGTTTTAGTTTCTAGAGTTCAGGAGTATTTTGTGTAACACAATTACTTCTGCCTCTTTGGAGTTTTTAAAGAGAACAAATCAGCTAAATTTTAAGAGAGTAAATAAGATTCAGGTTGGTATCTGTGTTATTTCAACCCGACTGTATGTAACAGCAGGAGTGACAACTGGTCATGGCAACCAGCAAAACTGGTCTATGATTTGGGGTGGACATTTTGCAGGAAGAAGCTTGGAAGGAAAGGGATTGCTTATTGGTGTTGAAGTTTGGAGCATGGCCAATGAAAAGAGCCCTAATCTAATTCGTAAGACCTACGTTCTAGGCACAGTGCTCTTGTTCAACAGACTGTGACCTTGAGCAAGTCTTAAAAATAAGTTGGTTTGACTAGGTGACATTTAAGTTTAGAATCCTATTATTAAAAAGAAGGGTATGTAATAGAAGATTTTATTTTTGGATGGGATGGAAATCGCAAGTTGTCAAAGAAACTATTTGAGTGAAATTTGGCAGTAGAAGGGAAGTTATTCTCCTTTTGATAAGTCTTAACAACCAAGAAGCCTTTCCTAACCACCATCAGAAAACAAGTCTGTCTAGCCAGAGAGTATGGAAGTCTTAGAGCCCAGGCACACACATTAGAATGGTAAAGTGATTGAAATGACTAGTTCAGTCCTCATTATGGAGGCTTACTGAGTAAAACATATGAAAATCCTTGGAAGCATGTTTGGAAGTGTGGGAACTCATGGCTGGGCTTTTTTCACTGATGAAACAAGCTAAAATGACTTTCAGTTTAACATGAATAACCATATTTCAGTTAATATCAGTGGAAAGGAGCAAAAACATGCATAATTTAACAGAGTGAACACTAAAAAAATTTTATTTTGAATTATAATTTTAAAAATTTACAGCTAAATTGGATTATTTATCATGTCCTTGGCCCCAATAATGAACCACATTGTGAAGACCTGTTTTGGGGTGGGAAATATTAGTTTTCTCTTTCACAATGTTCAATGCTTCTCAACAGCCACTTCACACCAAGAATACTCACATGCTTTCAAAAATTTGGCAAAGGGAGCCATCTTTTCTCTGTATGCAACCCTAGGTAGGGATTAGTTACAGTTTTTACAGCTGGAAAAACACCTTGTTTCCATATCCCAGTTTTATGGATAAAGAAACTAGGGTCCCATGAAGCCAAGTCTCATAACTGATTAATGTTAGAACTGAAACTAGAACCCTGGTTCTTCTAACTACATCATACTGTCAGATGTTAGAAGAGATTACCTTAGAAGTTGCTCAATAAATATTTGCTGCTGAATAATAATGACTCTCACAATGAATTATTCCCATAATTCCCATCTATAGGAGTTGGTTTAAATCAATGATTCTAATGGAGGAGTGGAGGAGAGAATCATGTGTGGTTTGAAAACAAAGCAGAGCTTTGTCTTACTGCTTTGGTTTGTTTTTAGTGATGATATTTACTTTATTTTGAATTTCAAATTACATTGAAAGAGAGCATGAGATTTTTATGTTTACTGAGGACCTGTAAAGGAACTCATGTGTTAGCTTTTCAGACTTCTTTCCAGGATTTTGCTTCTGTGAATGAAAAAAAGACATTTTTTTCACTTGCTATACTTTGTAGTTAAAAATGAAACTAAAAATGGATGATTTAGGCTGTGAAATTAGTGGATGAATAGTCTAGGAATCAGATTCCTTTTTGACACTGAAGATCAAAAGAAATTGCAGGTGAAAACAACCTATCAACTAATGTCTATCAAGTGATGAATGGATAAACAAAATGTGGTATATCTTTACAAAGGAATATTATTCAGTCTTAAAAAGGGAGTACTGATACATGCTACAACATGGCTGAACTTTGAAAACATTATTGGTGAAAGAAACCAGACACAAAAGGCCACCTATTATATGATTCTATTTATATGAAATTTCCAGAATAGGCAAATCTATAGAGACGGAAACTAGAGATTAGTGGTAACTCCCACCAGAGCTTGTGGGAAGGGGGATGGGGAATGATTGCTCATAGGTACGAGGTTTATTTTTGAGTGATGAAAATGTTATGGAGCTAGATAGTACTGATATTTGTGTAACATTGTGATGTACTAAATGCCATTGAGTTGTACACTTTAAAGTGGTGAATTTTATATGTATTTTGTAACTTATTATTATTTTATTATTATAAAAACATATAAATTACTATATGTAACATATAACATATATACTATATAAATATATATTACATATTATTCTATTTTATTATATATTATAAATTATTATATATAATTTTATATAGTGTATAAATATATAATTACATATATAAATTATTGCTTATATACTATATATAAAATATATATAACTATATTATATGTAATTATTATATTAATAATATATAATAATATTTGATATATAATAAAGTAATAATACTATATATAATTATATAATAACATATACGTTTATAGGTGGAGGTGGAGGTCAGGGCTTATATATGAATATTTCAGAGAGTTTCCTGTTTCTTCTACTATCCTCTGTGAAGATATAGATAAGACCCTGCCTTCCTGTTTGAGAATGGGAAATCTGTTAAAAGAAGGTCCTGGCCTTTTTTTTTACCTCTTATCATTCTCAGATCCGACTTGAGAATTGTGTCTATATATAGAAAAATCACTAGACTGATTAAAAACAAAAACGTTTCGATCAAGTCTTAATTTATCTGAACTGTATAAGTAATCGTGGATGGAGTGACAGTAATGCACTCAGCCGTTCTGCTGTGTTGTGGCTGGTTGTTTACTCTGCTTCCTTGCCTGGTCCTTGGTTAGACCCATTCTCTCATCACTGTTTCTATGCCCCTTTAACCTTTAAAAGCCCATTCCCTGCTCTACTCACACAAGTAGTTTGTGTTTTGTTCTTTGGTCTCTTGGTGAACTTTCTTTTTGACAATTACTGCACATGTAGTCAACTCTTTGAAAAACATTTGTTTTCAGTGGCAAGGTTACCTGGTGTCAGAGGTTATTCATATGTGCTTTGAAACTGGATTTAAGAGAAAATTGGCTGCACACCTTTTTTGGCATGATTTTAACAGTCTTTTTGTTTCCTCATCTCCTAGATTATTTATTTTTTAAAAAATCAAATGGTCATTCTTGCTCTGGCAGCTATAACTATTTTTTTCCCAGACACAAAAATTATATTGGCTCTTACTGGCTACATTAAAAAAACCTCCAATGATTGGGTGATCTTCCAAAAGAATATTTATTTTTATTTAAAAATGTGATACATAGAAGTGAAGCAGTTACACTTTAAACAAATAAGAAGACATAAAACCTTTTCATAGTCTTGGGAGGGAGGGTAATTTGCTTTAGTTCACTGTCACTCTGTATGCCAGGAGTAAGACCCACCACCATTTTCTTCCTCTCTGAGTGTCAAATACAAAGATGAGAAATTTCAATTATAAGTTAGTGAAGTTTTAGGGTTTTAATTTTATTCAGAAATTGAAACTTCTTTTTAGTAAAATACCTTTTTTCATTTTACTCCACATCTTGTGGAAGTTCTGAATTCATGGATGTTATTACATTTACTGAATGTTATGGACTGCGTGTTTGTGTCCTCCCAAAATGCATATGTTGAAATCTTAACTCCCAATGTCATGGTATTAGGAGCTGAGGCCTTGGGGAGGTAATTAGGTCATGAGGGTGGAGTTCTCATGAATGGGATTAGTGATTTTATAAAAGAAAACCCTGAGACCTCTCTCCTCTTTGTCTACCATGTGAGGATGTCTACCATGTGAGGATATAAATCTGAAACCCAGAAGAGGGCTCTAACCAGAACCTGACCATGCTGGCACCCTGATCTCGGAATTCCAGCCTCCAGACTGAGAAATAAATTTCTTTTGTTTTATGAGCCACTCAGTCTACAGTATTTGTTATAATGGCTCAAACTGACTAAGACACTGAGTTTGCTTCTTCAGGTCAACTCCAATGTGGTTTAGAAAGACTTTGTTTTTGCACCTCCTCCCTGTAAACTTCTCAATATAATAATTTTCTAGGGAATACCTTATTCATTTTGGGAATTTTGCTTACTGTTTCTTTACATTCATAGTCAAAAATTTCTGACAAAATTTAAAATATCCTACAGAAACCAGCATATTATACAGTAATGATGTATTACTATGTAATAAACAACCACGTTTAGATTGATCATGAAAATAAAACCCAAAACAAATATGGCAGGTCCTCATTTTCTAAAGAAATATATCTTTATTGACTTTTTCCATTTTCTTACAAAGCAGTTAAAAAACTCATTCTTGAACTTGCATGCTATTCAATGTTAATGATGGCTGCCTCCTTATAAGACTGTCAGTGGAGCTTTAGTAAGTTTCCTTAAGCACCGCAGAAAATAATCATTGCTTGGTCCCACTTTTACAGAAAAGAATCCAAGTTTCACCACATAGAGTACGCTTAGCTCTCTTGAAGAAGACCAGTTTAGTGGATTAATGTCTAATTTACATAAGTAATAAAAACAAACTTTGAATCTTTACAGATTAAATGCCCACTTCATACCATGGTATAATTGTTTGAATTATTGGTGAGTGTACAGTATATAGATGTAGATGTACTAGATATGTCTATAAATAAAATAGTGCTTTAAGGTAACAATATTCTTTGGCTGATTTAAAAGCCTATAGTGAACTCTTTAAAAAGACTAAAATGCAAATGGCCCCACTATTATTGTCAATCTTAACACTGAGCTTGTGCGGAAGGTTCCTAAACTGTTGACTGTCAGCATCTCCAGGTCCACGATATATTCTCTTGGTCCTGATAGTGACTTCACCAGCACAAGCATTGCACTTACAGGACTTGTTTGCTAAAATAAAAGAAAAAAGAGGTAGAGAGAGAACAATTTTTCTTGGATTGGAGTTTCTTTTATTTGTGAGTATACGACCTATGAGAATTCAGGGGACAATTTTGAGGGGGGATAAAAGTCACTTCCTAGTTCCTTCTTGGTTCCAACTTTTCATGGTTCTTATCCCTTGTCCACACATAGTCATTAGTTCCAAGTAACAGGGACTTGCTTTTTTTGATAATTGTTTGTTTTCTATTCTTCCCCTCTATGTTAATGTTTCTCTTCACCTTTATTGAATAGTTCCAGCCTTTATAGAGACTGGAGTTCAAGTGAGAACCTGATAATTTTTGAACTGGTAAACAAAGTTGTCATCTTTCAGTCTCAACATTGTGCATCTGTTTACATTCTAGTAGATGAAGAGACATGTAAATAATTAATTTCAATAGTATGTGGCAAATGCTAAGATATATGGGTATATGCAGGGTATACATGAAGATACATAAAAGTGTGTATACACAGTGAAAAAGAGGAGGAACCATGAAGCATTGAGGGAAGGCTTTTGAATGCCTGAGGGGAAGCACCAGGATAAATGGAGGTTTTGTAAAGAAGTACATTCAGGAGAAAACTGGATGTAGTTTCATTTTGATGAAGAATGTGATGGGTGCTAGAGAGTAGGGAGAGATGAGATTCGAGGGGCAGGTAAGTAGATGTGTGAATCTGAATGTCAAGGAGAGGGCGGGGATAAAGAAGTGGATTAGGACTTAGCAATCACTTCAATAGGTGGATATTAAACCAAGGGAGAGAATGTATATGTGATAAGGCTGGGTCTGGGACAAGTCAACATTTAGGGAGTGAGCAGAGAAGAAACCACTGAAGGAAGCTGAGAAAAAATAGATGATTAAGTGGAAAGCAGATGAGCGGCCAGCACTGACCAACAGAGCAGGGGAGGCTGAGGGTGACTGGAACTGAAAAATGCAGTATGGATGTTATCAGTGGCTTTTTTCCAGAGCAACTCTGTCTTCTGCTCCCACTACTAAAGTGAGAAGACAGAGACCGTGATTACAGACTGTGCTTTAAGAACTTTGGTGGGGAAGGAAGAGGAGAGAGAGAGCAACATCTAGAGGAAAAAACAAGTTGAATATGTAGAAGGTAGAGGGGAGTCTAATGGAACAAATTTCCAGAGAAGATGGAGTGAAGAATACAAGTGGTAGGTTGGCCTTGACTGACAGAAGTGGAATCTTGTCTTTGGAAAACTGAAGGGAGGAGGTAAGAAGGGGGACACATGGACTTAAGTTCACAGACAGTGGGATGGAAAGTTCAGGAAATCCATGCCTGTTGGCTTCAGTGGTTTAGAGTAGGTCACCTACTGAAAATGAAGGGTATAACGACTTAAAGAGTTTGGGGACATTTGCGATCAGGGGCTGAAGAGAAGAAAGTAATAGGATTGTTGAACATACTGAGGACCCATCTGAAATTGGTGACTTATAAGTGTCAATTTGTGCTGACAAGCTGAGTATGAAAATAGATATGGATTATGGGATTGATCCAGGGTTCCTGGGCAGGGAGTTGAGGTGTTGGTGACAGAGTAGTTGAAGGGTTTACCAAGCAGTTGATAGACTGGAAGAAAATGCTGGGGGTGAGGGGTCAGGGGACTAACATCACTTGAAGGTGAAGGGCAGATGGAGTGGGAGTGAGAGCATGAGAGAGAGGAAGGAGAGTGGGTCATTGAAGACTAAGATTCTGATGTGGAACTGTTCTGAATGATAACAAAGTCCAGGGTCTGGCTATGGGGTTGGTGGCAGCGTGGCATGAAGCTGAAGGTCATGGGAGATGAGATGGCCAGGCAATTGTAGGTTAAGGCACTGGATGATTATGATAGTGCTCAGATCAGGTTACAGAAAGGAAAACTCTTCATAATCTAGCCTCTCTTTATCCCTGGCCCTCTTCTCTTCTGAGTAATCTCACCCATTCCCTATACATTCTCCCTGAATGAGCTCATCCATAGCCATGGCTTCAATTATCATGTATTTGCCAGTGACTTGAAAGTCTATATTTTGAGTTCCAAGCCCACTTATCCGTTTCTCTAGTCATCTTTACTTCAGTGTCTCATGGGGACCAGAACTCAATATGTCCAAATTGAATTCCACCTTCCTCTCCACACTGGCTCCTTTTCTATCTCAGTAAATGACACCACCATTTAATGTTGCTCAAGACAGAAACTTGGAAGTTATCCTTGATGCTTCCTTCTCCATCTCCCCATAGCAAATGGATTACCAAGTCATATACTTCTTCCTATATCTTCACAAGTCTGTCCACTTCTTTTGGACTCACTGCTACCATCCTAATCCCCCATTTCTTGAACTGCTTATTGGTCTCTCCATTTCCATTCTTGCCCTACTCGAATCCAGGATTTACAGCGTAGCCAGGCATCTTTTTAACATGAAAATCTGATAGCGACTCCTCTACTTGAAACCCTTAATATGGTCTGTAAGGCATTGTATGATCTAGGCCCTGCTCATCTCTCCAGGCTCCTCTCAAGGCACTCTGCTTGTAGCACTTGGAGTTCAAGACCAACTGGACCGCTTTTTATTCCTTCCATTTGCTAGTCTTTAATTTCTGGTCTTCACCTTAAACCCACTTCTTCCAGGAGGCTCCCATACCACTCCTGTCTGGGTTAGGTCAATTTGTTATGCACTCATGAGCAACTTGCAACTCTCTGTTGTAATACTCAGCATTCTTGTGAGCCCCTGTTCAAAGTCTTGACTATAAGCTCCACTGGAGCAGGAATTAACTTGGTTTTATTCACTGTTGTGTCTCTAGGACCTAGCATAGTGCTCGCCCCTTGTAGGCAATAGCTGTAGGTAACATACCTTGAAGGTGTTGATTGAATTACTTATTTGTTTAAAAATATTTTTTGAGCAGGAAGAATGAACAGACAGGTAAAGTCTCTGCTCTCATTACACTCACACTCTAGTGGGCAACACAGAGCAATGAATACTATGCAAGGTGGTTATAAGGGCTATGAAGAAAAATAAGGCTCAGTAAGAGAGGATAGATGCTGGGTGGGGTGAGGGGATGGTATTCTACCTTCAGTTTCATGTACTACTTCTTTACAATATGTCCCCTTTTCTAGAGAGAAGGTTTTCTCAGTGTTCTCCCAAAAGGAATATAAATAAAATCCTATATCCCACAGATCCTTTCAGGGATCAGGTCTAGTCTCATGACCGTCAAGAAACATTCTTTGACTATTCCAGCCCACATTAGTTCTTTGATGTCTTGGACCATGGAATTAAACATAAAATTGTCCCCTTATTTTTTTAATAAAAGTTAACTTCTGCCACACAGTAATAGTTAAAGCTCTTTGAAATAAGGAACTGTGCATTACATGCACCTAGCATGGACCTGAGCATACAGTAAGTGCTTAATTAATGTCTTTGATTGATTCTTATGCATTAAAATGCCCTCTGCACAAGTGGAATTTCAGTGGCGAAATTTTGTAGGATTTGATCTGACTACTTTTTAAATTATGTGATAAGAAATAGTCTTGAAATACCTTTTTATTTTAAATAGTTTTTTGTTTCAAATAATTTAATATTTAACTCTGGGATTATCAAAATTGGCAATGTTTTATATCATTCACGAGAGAAAAGGATTTACTTGAGAAACACACTGTATTTATATTTGAAAATATCAAGTTGATAAATGCACTGATAATGAATCATAAAATTTTTTAAGTGCCATGTTTATTGTGAGGAAAAAAACATGCTGGAACTTTGCTTAATGGTTGGTTCTGCTAGGAAATTTAATTTTCTTAAATTATGGCTATGAGTTCAAAATGGAAAATTATTTTTAAAGAAGACTTTGAGATGAACCTATTTTATTGCCATGGGTTACAAATAATGTTATTTGTTTGGGCTAGAATTATTAAATTGGTATTATCTGAATTGTGTGAAATTCATTTAGAGTAAACTTCTTACAAATATCTAGTATATCTCAAATTTAAAGCATCAGATGTTAAAGAAGTTTATTCTTAGCTATTAGAAATAGATTGTATTTTGAGTTGGACTTTTCTCTTCAGAAGCTGGTCATGAGAAATTAATCATTTCCAATTTACTGGCAAAGAAACAGAATCACATAATTCTGGAGCTGGAAGAGAACTTAATACATCAAGGAACAGGATAAATGTGTAAACATTAAAAATCTGTAAAGTTTACCACAAGGATGAATTTCCCAATTAACTTTTCATATTCTCAAAGTGAAATATTAACTTTAAAATTTGATTAGAAATGAAAAGTGCCCAAAGGAGTTTTGAGAAAATCGTAACTGGATGAATAACATCCTTAGCATGAAACAGTTACCGTAACCCTGCAAACTGCTTGGTGGGGTGCCATCATTTTCACATGAAGTGGTGAGCCTTATTTAAAATATGTCAGAATTTTAACCTAAAATGAACTTGCTGAGATTTTGCAGGAGGGAAGGGGGTGCTGGACGGCTGAGGCACTTGGAGTCAGGGAGATCTGCTTGGAAGCCCTTGGAGGGATTAGGGAGATGCTAAGAGACAGTTTAATGGAAGAGAGGCAGAGGCATGGTGAAGCAAAGATAACCCAGGAGACACTGTGGAGAAAGAAAACGCAGAATTCAGATAAAGATTTCATATAAGCACTGAAAGAAAGGGAAAACTCAAAGGTGACTTCACATTGTCTGCCTGGAAGTTTGCAAGAATGGTGCAACTACTGACACATATAGTGCAGGGGGTTGGAGTTACTTCTCAGAGACTTCCAGATTTTAGTTTTGGTGCAAATGTAAATAATCTTGGGAATGTAACAATAAGGAATTCATGGTTTTTAAAAAGCTCATCAGGAATTATTTTTTTCTCTTTACAATTCAATAACTATCACTGATTTGTGGTATCTGCTTGGTGTGTGTGTGTTTATGTAGGCTGTGTGTTTTGGTAGTCACACACAACTCCATTAGAGTCTGCAACTTGGTGTCTGAATGACTTTAGAGAAGCTACTCAATCTCTCTCAGTCTCACTTTCCTCTTCTGTAAAAAATGGAGATAAATGTTAATATCTGACAGTGTTACCAAGAGGATTAAATGAGATAATGAACATAGGAAGGCCATACACAATGTCTGCAAATAAAAACTCTTTAAATGTTAGCTTTCTTTCCAGGTGAACACTAACAAACAATACCACCAACAAACTTGAACCTGTCTTAGCTAAGGCTGCCCTCAGGATACTTACTCTTAGGTAGAACTCTCCATTTTCATTTCCAGATTTAATCCGAAAAGTATTGATAGTGTTGGCATATATAGTTGTGGCCTGTATCTGGAAGATGTCTGATGGCACAGACCTGTCAGATCGGATGCTCATGTATTTGTAGACTATGGACTGGGGAAGTTCTCGGCACACCGCATTTGATACTGGGCAAACACATCGGCTGCAGAGACAAACAATAATATTCACCAATTTGGCTTGGTAAGACAAGAAGAGTCTCACTTTCAAAAGTTCTGATTTTTCTTACTTCTCTGATGTTAGAACGTAAGGATCTTGACAAGGATTTCGTGGGTAACAACGGAAGCCGCCATGATAATTCCAACACATTTCATCTTCCCGACATTCATTTGTGGTCTCACACTCATTTATATCTATAGAGACATGGGGTCAAAGAGTTTACTGATCTAAGTGAATTGTATAAGTGGCAGATTCAGGTTTGCAAGGAAAGAGGTGTGTGGGAATCTGGACTGTGTTTAATTTGCTTTTAGACAGAAGACTGGGTGGGACCTGAGTTCATTGTATTTAATTCAGGACAGATGGAAGTAGCTGAATTATTCTAAACAGATTAATATGTGTCATTTCATGATATTTTATAAAGCACCTATTGTTCATCTGTTGAACTGAAAGCCAAATGTCAGCCATTGACCTTGCATATATAAAAGTGAAAGACATCACATCTTGCCCTCAGGGAGGTTGTAATTTAGTTAGGAATATAGATATGGCAACAGATAATTATAAAATAAGATAGAATTAAATAAGAGATAGATAAGTGCACTGGAAGATTAGAAGCAAAGCCTATTAATTCTGCCTGGGGGATTAGGGACAGCTGAAGGAAGGACAGAGCATCTCAATTTGGTCTTGAAGGGTGGTAGTTAGATGGGATTTTCATGGCTGGGGTGGGGAAAGCCTTCCAGACTGAGAAAGCAGCAAGCAAAAACTATGCAGAGGGCAATTTATTGTCTAGCTCAGGAGCTTTGGAGAGAGGGGAGAGAGGTAAAGGCTAGAGATGTGGTTTTGGTAAGCAGTAACACGCTGGTGGAGAGTTGATGCTCTGGGAGTGGATTATACTGTTCAGAGGAAGCACAGCATAGTAATGACGCTAGGAAGTGTTCCACTTTGTAGAGCATAGCTATTTAAAGACAGTGTGGAAGAAGAGGAATGAAGAAAGAGGCTGTCAGAGGTGAGAGGCAACCAGCAAAAGGCAGTGCAAGAAAGTCAGAGGGGGAGAGAGTCCTGGGAAGGAGGGTTGTAGATAGGCCAGGCTGGACAAAGACTGATTTTAGATTTGGGAATTAGGAGATGCCTGATGACATCCGAGAGAACAGTTTCACTAGAGAGCTATTACATTTACAACAACAACAGTAAAAATTATGTCAATATCCACCTCCCTATCTATGTCTATCTTCCTTTACATTTGGATAGTGATTTAGATTTTATCCAATATAAGCCTTTTCTGAATATTCTTTCCCTACAATTGGATATTTCCATTCATTAATTTACTTATTCCAAATGTAATTTACTGAATCCTTGCTGAAAGTCAGGCATAGGCTAGTTGCTGGGATATGATCTCTTTCTCCTTTATGAATTCTCACACCTCATGTTCTTCTTTTGGGGACTTTATTGCTTTCTGCTTTGCATTACTGAAATCTGCCTGTTTGTCTTAATCCTTCTATTAGTTTGTAAACTCCTTGAGGGCAAGGGCTATCATACCCATATTTTTATCCCTTCATCACCTAGCAGTAATGCACTAGGGCACCTGACTTTTAAGAGATATTAAATTCAACTAAGTTGCTCCTCACAAACCATGTGGAGATAGGTGAGAAAGATATTATCTCTATTTGACATGGAGGAAAAGCAAATAAGGGTTAAGCAGCTGACCCAAGTTCATACAGTTAGTGACAGGCATCTTTCCACTGCAAGGTACTGCATCCTCTAAATGAGAATAATTCCATGCCTTGTCTTTGGAGGAAAAATTTCTCTTTTAGCTTCCAAACTAGCCAAAGCTATCTGGAACCCCAGAAGAAACTGGAAAAGCTATGCAGTTTCCAAGAGTCAGTTAAAAGAAGTGTCTTCTTTTAGACTGGCTATAGCTAAAAAAAGAACTTAGGTTCCTCAGAAGAAATCACAATTGACTTGTCCTTTCAATATTTTTCATTTTTTTGGAAAATGAAGATGGTGTTTAGCTACAGGGAAAACTAAGACTGTTTTGTTACATGGAGTCCAACAGGAGCAAAAGGAAACTTTATGTAATAATTTCATTTATTACTTCCAGTAATTTAGAGCCTAGCATAATCAACACCCTAATCATTCTGGAAGGTTTTTCAGAAATTATTCATAGTATTAAAATATTTGATGGGTGTCTGTCTGTGTGTATGTGTATTCTCTCTCTGTCTCTGTTTCTCTGTCTCTCTCTCTCCCTGCTGCCTCCACTCCCCCCGACGCCAACAGAGTTTTCATTTTTTGCAAGACTGTGGAAATGAGAATAGTTATTTCATTCCCAAAATAAGCCTTTTAGGGGAAGGTAAGAATCCAAACTTTCGATTTGACTTTAGTCTGTGGATGAGGTTGAGAAGGGATGGTTTCAATGGGGGAAACAAATTGCCTTGTACCTTAACAGAATGCTATGTCTCACAAAAATGTTTTGGCTTAACCAAACATTCTGAAGCTGCGTATCTTCAAGACATAACACTCGTGAATCCCCTATTTGCAATTCCAGTACATTTTCCACCTTTAATTATAACAGATATAAATGTTTCTATAGAGAGAGAGAGTAGGCAGGTAAGATTCCACTCTATGTTAATTTGTTTCTGTCTTTTGCTAGGTATCAATTCCATTTATGATCAGAAACACAGAGACATTTGTTTGAAGGACTCCAGGGAAATTGGTTAGGATAGCCCACTGCTAACATTTTCCTGCATGTAATATTCATGTAAAAGTCTCAATTAAGGTTCAGAAAGTAAAACCATTGGAATGAAATGTTTTTCTGCAATTAACATTACAGTCTCTAGTAACCTGGAAAGGGGTATAAAGATGTTCATTGTGCAATTATCAGTATTTTGATTATGTATGCTCACAGTTAGTGGTTGGAGTCTAGTAGAATGATCATATGCATACCATAAAATCCAAGGTCATGGATGCTCCTCCGAGTTAATATTCTCCTGTAAAATCACGACGTAGACTGACAATCCCCAGTGTCTCCTCTCCTTGATCTTTTCCTTTCTTACCAGAATTTTACTACCCTTGTGTTCCCTCTCTCAATTCTGATTAAAAAGGATTCTCTGGAGAAGATTTCCTACTAGTTATTTACATTACTATGTAAATTTCATAAAACATCTTGAATTATACAGCTTTATAGTTTATAAATCATTTTTATGTACATTATTCCATTTCATTCCGTCAGCTTCCTTTTCCAAATGAGAAAGCTGAGGCTCAGAGAAATTTGATAATTTGTTTGAGATTATACAGATAGAATGCAGCACAGCTAGGACTCAAACAGATTTTCTGTCTTTGAGTTCAGTCATTTTTTTTCACTCTTTCATTGCTTTATGTAAATGTAAGTATTTGTAGTAGCTTTTCCAGGATCATCTACATTTTTGGTTTTATCTGAGCAGTCTTGTTCCCTGTTAAAGAAATTTTAAGCTACATGTAGCACTGAAGGTAGGGAGAAGATGGTGTGTATTTTCTGATTTTTTGGAGAGACTCTGAGATCATTCCACATAGAGAGCAGCTTCTTCCACCTATGTGTAGGAGTGAAGATCACCTGAATGTTTATTTTACAACTGGACCCAAGGCCCTTAGCTATTTTCAGATCAATAGGTTTTTGCTGAAGAATTCAAGCACATTTTAAGACACTTGAAGCTGATTTTCTCAGCACTGAAACTACTAACCAATTTGTAAACTTAGTGTTTTAGAGAATTAAGACTGTTTTGAGGTATGCCTAACCAACATATTAAGCTTATGCTCTAGACTCAAACTCTTCGTGAAATATTTTAATAAGTAAATCTTTTCTGGTGGATAATTAGAAGATGTATATCATAGAGATTATATAGGCTATATAGAAGGGATATCACTATTTTATCAAAATTGTATTTTAAGAAAGAAAAACAATTACTTGGAATTTCAAGGAAAGTCAGCGTTAACACTGAATACTGTCTTTATGAGATGTGTATGTCTCATGATGAACAGGGGAAAAGAGCTCAAATTGTATATTCAAGCTGGACAAGATGAAAGTAGAGAATCCTATCACTTCCTCCCTGCTCTTCCTGGTTAAAAATGGAACACTTAACAGATATGAAAACAATAGACTTACCCTGACATGTTCTACTTCTCACCACTTGGTATCCCTGGGGGCACATACATGAGAATTTCCCCGGTTCATTGACACATTGATATTGACACAGGTAGCTTGAGGTTCTGCATTCATCAATGTCTGTTGAATAAGGCAAGAGCAAGAACACAGAGGTAAAAAACTGACACATCACTACTTTGGTAATATTTTTTTAGGAGGTAAGAAAGTAAAAACATGGCAAACTCTGAAACAGAAATACTTTATAAGAAACTCAAGGACAATTCTAATCAGCTCATTTCCCCTAGAACTTCACAGCATGAAGAGTTTTTCTTACCATAAGTTTTACTCAATCATAGCTGACAGTTTGGTGAATCCTGGACCTAACCATACTAGCTGTCCAGACTGAATGAATTGGCTTATGGTTGATGCTCTTCATGTTGGGCTCTGCAGTCCTACCCATGATGCAGATTCAAATTTGCTTTCTCAGATATGGGTGGCTCTGCTGCCAAGTTCATCTGAGCTTTGAACTCCAAGTCCCATCCCTGTGCTAGCTTCTAGAGGTGACATCCTGACAGGGTCTGGCCTTCAGGGGAAGAATGCATTTCTCAATGGTGATGTCTTTATAGTTTGCTCATAAGGGCAGAGGCAGCTGTCCAGAGCCAGCCTCTTTCAGTTTTGAGCACAGTAGCATGATGGGAGGCCTCTCTGGATGGGGTATGACTTTTGTGGCCCCAAGTAAAGCTGAGAGGGTTCATGATGAAGTCAGGGGCATCAAATGTTGATGGCACCCCCTTCAGGATGTCTTATGCTTTCTGAATTACACAGTGCAATGTACATGTGCAAAAGACTCTGAGGGTCATCCATTCAGTTAAATGGACCTCTTTTTACTCATGTGGAAAGTGAAACCCAGGTAACTTAAGAAATGTGCCCAAGTCACATAGCGGCAGGAATAAGATTAAGGGCCAGGTCTCTTGGTTTCTATTCTAATGTTTCTGACATGCAATTAGCTCTTTTAGAACTTAAATGTGCACACCATTCACCAGGAGTTCTTGTTAGATGCAGAATCTGACTCAGTAGGTCTGGGCTGGGACTGAAATTCTCCATTCTCACAAGCTGCTGGTTCTTGGATCACACTTTGAAAAGCAAGACACTAGAGCACCCTAATTATTAGACCCAGCCTGTATCTAATATTTCAGTTATTTTGTTTCTTCTCCTTTCTCTTGATAACATACTAAAAAGCCAATATTGCAACTGAACTAAATTAACTGGATTTAGAATAGAATTTCAGTGGATAAAAATTTGTTTCCAGGGGGCTGGCCTGGTGGCACAGCAGTTAAGTTTGCACATTCCACTTGGGTGGCCTGGTGTTTGCCGGTTCGGACCCTGGGTGCAGACTTATGCACTGCTTGTCAACCCATGCTGTGGCAGGCATCCCACATAAAACAGAGGAAGATGGGCACAGATGGTAGCTCAGGGCTAGTCTTCCTCAGCAAAAAGAGGAAGATTGGTGGCAGATGTTAGCTCAGGACTAATCTTCAAAAAAAATTGTTTCCATAAACAGATACATAATCAGATAAACCACAGCAACCACAGAGATTGCACTCAATACAAATTATTTGGGAAATATTTTACCTTCACAGTTGAGTCTATCGCTGCTTAGCTCATATCCTTGATTGCACTGACAGATGAATGAACCAAGAATGTTGTAGCATTGCTGAGCACATTGATTGCTGGCATCACATTCATTTATGTCTGAAAAGAAAGGTTATATACATTTATATACCTATGTCTTTAAACATATTCTTGTTCTTTTGTACTTATGTCACCTGATGATGTGAGTAATATCCTAGCTGGATTCTTTGCCCTGCAGAAGCTCATTGGAGAACATCCATTCAGGTTTCATATTTGTTGGAACAACTTCAAATATCTGTCATATACTTCTTTTAGAAATACCAGAGTATTTTTTTTCTGGGAACAACAGTTTGGTGTTTGATGAATCTTTCCAAAAGAATTTAATGATTCTAATAAATATACATTCCAGTATCTATTTTCTTTTATTGTTGTTCAGATGCAAAATGCCAAGTCTATAAATAATTGATATAAGACACTCATACTGATATGGTCTCTCAGCATGCTGTAGTGAAGATTTATCTGTGCTATTTATTACTTTTTAAATGGGCTCTGTTAAATTCCATTACAATTATAACATAAGCCTTTGAGACCCATACAGAGTTTTGCAATGCTCTGAGGCACTGAAAATATTGTGAAAAAGCATTTTTCCTGTGCTAGACGCTTTCCATGTCATGCCAATCTTGAAACTGTGTGCCATGACATTGCATTCTGAAAGGGGAGAAGAAGCATGTAAAAATCAGATGCCCTTTCAGTGGAAAGTTTATGTACTTGAACTTACAGTAACCCCTTTGGCACCTTCAGCATTTATATCACACATTGCTGACTAATTGGTGTGTGTATGTCAATTGATGTATAACTTTTTATTTTTTGATATACCCACAGAGGAGAACTAAAACCAAGGTTAACAAAGTTTTCCACTCACATCTTGATGTATTTTAAGAAACAGATTGGTCATTGTCATTTAAGCTTTCTGCATGAATGTTGATGGAAACCAGTTCACTCAAGAAAATAGAAAACTGGAAATAGTGCGACATGGCATGAGGTTTACTTTTGTTGAAGACAGAGATCAGTTAGGATGGCAATTCCGAAAAGGCTTACCTACGCAGGTATAGTTGTTTGCTGCCAACTGAAACCCAGGACTGCACTGGCAATAAAATGATCCTGGTGTGTTCACACATCTTTGATGGCAATATGGAGGGATGGTGCATTCATCTATATCTAGGTTATCAGGCACACACACAAGAAGAACAAAATTATTGACTATCCACTCTCAAGTTCTAAGCAGAAAATTATCTAGGAGATCTTTGTAGAGAAGACCTCATTTTAAAAGTAGTTATTTTTCTTTCTTTTTTTTTATTGGTGAGGAAGACTGGCCCTGAGTTAACATCTGTTGCCAATCTTCCTCTTTTTGTTTGAGGAAGATTGTTGCTAAGCTAACATCTGTGGCAGTCTTCCTCTATTTTGTATGTGAGATGCCGCCACAGGCATAGGTCTGCGTCCGGGATCCAAACATGTGAAACCCGGGCTGCTGAAGTGGAGTGTGCAAACTTAACCACTATGCCACTGGGTTGGCTCCTCTTCTTTTTTTTCAAATTAAGATATGTGTGTTTTAAATATACTTTGGTCTGCATTCTGCAGTTAAGTGAGATGTTAAGAATAAAGATTTCATAAACCTGATTGGGTGAGTTGAAATTTAAAGACAGAAAAGTAATTAAAACTATTTCACATATACATGAGAATATTCAGTTTGGGAATCTAAAGCTTATTTATAATGACAGAACTAAAAAAGAACTATGGAAGAACTGAATGATGTAGCATAAAACTAAGAGAAAGGAGGTATGGGCTGCTGTTCAGCTGGTGACTTTGGTGAAGCTACTTAAAAGTTCAGTATCTTGATTTTTTCTTCTGTAAAATGTAGACAGTAATCCTTGCTATGTGTATCTTATGAAGTTTCTGTGAGAATCAAATGGACGAACACTGTGGAAGGAATAGGATGCTGAACAAGTTACCTCTTGACAGTGCTCTTCTGACACATTGATGAAGCATTCCAGCCCGTGTCCTTCTCATATAAATATTTCCAACTATAAAACGCTCAATTGAGAACTTGCAGGGTAGGATTAACATCTTAGAAGCATAATAAAATTTCATTAATTCATAACTCTACACTTTGTGACAACTCCAACATGGCATGCGTAATTTGAAATAATTGCATGTATAATGTAAGACAGTGTAATGATACTATCTTATGGTAAAAAAGGAAAAGAAAACAAAACTTTATGCTGAGCTCTTCTGGTACGTTCATAATTAAAAGTGTGGGAGGCAGTGTGCTCAAGTGGCCTCAGGGTAACTGAGTTTGAATCTTTGATCTGCCAGTTACTAGCTTGGTCTTAACCTCTCAGAGCTTCCAGTTCCTTTTCTGTAAATAATAATACAACAATGTGGTGGACTTGTTTGGAGGATTACATAGGCAAACTTCCTTGAACAAAACAGGTAAAAGTAAATGGGAGCTATTTTTACTAAGCTGCAAAATACATTTGATTTAACTTGAATATGGTTATGTGTCACTTAACGACAGGGATATGTTCTGAGAAATGCGTCACTAGGTGATTTCGTTGTGTCAACATTATAGAGTATACTGAAGGGGAACAAAATTTGCCACCCCAAAATGTATCTCTTTGATGAGAGGATTATTTTAGGCTGATTATTTTTAAGAAACAAAAGACTCAGAAAGTTTTTCTTATTACCTCTCCTTTAACTGCCTAAAAGAATTCAAAGAAAAAAACCTGTCTCAGAAAACGAGCTATCATCTTAGCATAATATGAACAAGGTAATAGAAAGGGAGGAACCTAGAAAAGCCTGTTTGTTGGGCTTCCCTCTGTGTTCTTCTGTTTCTGTGCAGCCAAACATTTGTTTTCCAAACGTTTACTCCTTTTTACCTTCTTGTGAATTGCCTTCCTTCTTTTTGAAGTCCCTGACTTTCCCCATCCCAACATCTTCTTTTGTCTTTAGCTGAGGATGGTATTTAAGATGAAAGCTTTGGCCATTTTGGTGAGCAACTCAGATTTCCTGGGTTTTTCCCATGTGTATACATTATTAAACTTTTGTTTGTTTTTCTCCTGTTAATCTGTCTCATGTCAATTTAATTCTTAGACTGGCCAGAGAAACCTAGAAGGGTAGAAGAAAATTTCTTCCTCCTCTTCAGTACTTACACAAACCTAGATGGTGTAGCCTACTACACACCTAAGCTATATGGTACTAATCTTATGGGACCACTGTTGTATATGTGATATATCATTGACTGAAATGTTGTTATGTGGCACATGACTGTATTGAAATAAACAATGACAATATTCACATAGCTTCCCCCCTCATTTATTTAGGAGTCTGCTCAAATGTCACCTCAGGGAGGCTATCTCTGTCCATTCATATAATAGCATCTTCTGCCCTGTCTATCCCCTCATCTTGCTTTGTATTTCTTTGTAGCCATTGACACTCCTTGACATTGTGTTATGTGTTTGTTTGCTTCTTGTCTGTCTCCCTCACTATAATGCATTCCAAATAAGACCTGTCTCCTCCTCTTGAGGTGGAGGTAGAGTATTTTTTTGTCAATTCACTGCTGTATGCTTAATATCTGAAACAGAGCCTGGCATAGTGGGTGCTCAATAAGCATTAGTTGAATGAATGGAAACTTCATATTAATTAAGAGCAATTTTAGCATGCTTCTTCCTACTACCAAGTATTACAGCCAGGTGTCAGTATCAATAGCTAATTTGTATAAATGTTACTTTCTAATAGCTCTATAAGGGCCATGATTCTGTAAATCTGTTGGTTCACCATGATAACCCAGCACCTAGAGCAGTGCCTGGCACACAGTCAGCCTTCAATAAATATTTAATGAAAAAGTGATACTTTCTACCCCTGTCAAGTATGGAAGATGGGCATGAAAACGAATTACTGCATGGAATGATAAGATCGACAATAGAAAGGTGTATAAAGGGCAAAGGGAGCACTGTACTACTCAGAATGTGGCTTGCTAGGGCCGGCCCGGTGGTGCAGCAGCTAAGTGTGCATGTTCCGCTTCAGCCGACCGGGGTTCACTGGTTCAGATCCCGGGTGTGGACATGGCACAGCTTGACAAGCCATGCTGTGGTAGGCATCCCACAGGTAAAGTAGAGGAAGGTGGGCACAGATGTTAGCTCAGGGCCAGTCTTCCTCAGCAAAAAGGGGAGGATTGGCGGCAGATGTTAGCTCAGGGCTAATCTTCCTCAAAAATTAAAAAAAAAAAGAATGTGGCTTGCTGACCACTGCTGGTCCATGGACTATTTGGACCAGTCTGCAATGAATAAGTATAGAAATTGACAGTATGTGTTTAGGAATAGCAATTTGGTGTCACTGGAATATTTTTATCGTACTTTACAAAAGAATTGATCTGCAACAGATTGGAAATTTACAAAAAGGATCCATCAAAGTTTGAGAAGTACTGAGATGAAGGAGGGAGTGACTAATTATATTGGGGTAAATCATGGAAGACTTCCCAGAGGAAGTGCCCCCTGAGCTGGGATTTGAAAGTTGAATAGAAGTTTGCTAGGAGTGCATGTTCCTGGTGCCAAAAGAGCTCATATAGAAGCACCAAAGTATGACGGTGTGATGTATGTGGAGAACTATAACTAGTGGGATAAAGCTGGAGTGTAATTTTATATGGGGAGAGGGGTCTTCATGCAACAGAGCTGGGCAAAGATCAAATTAAGGAAGACCTTATATGCTCTGTTGAGAATTGGTTCTATTGGTGAGGGAAATAACAGGGAAACCACATGATTAGATCTGAAAGGCTCTATCCACATATTCCATTCTCTTTGATTCTTCCCACAGTAGGTTGGGTTAGTTCTTTTTCTGGACTTTTTATTCCCTCAATTATTTACTTTCCTGACTGATACAGGGGCAAAACTTTGGTGCCTGTGGAGTTTTCCACACAATCTTCTCCTAAATCACAGCTTCAGTCACTGCAAACCCCTGGCCTTCCTTGGAGGCTGGGCACTAACCCCAGCATCTAGGCGCAGACCTGTGTCAGGCAGAACTGACCTGGGGCCCATGAGGAGCTCAGTGTAGACATCCTGATGTCAAGGACTTTTTACTGATCTATGGTATAAGGTGTTATGTAAATCAGTGGACAGAAGGAGTCAATTAGAGGATTTCATGCCTAGTGCTGGGCATCATGATTGAGCCAAGAACACTTTAGATTACTACTTATTTGCCCGTCAGCGTCCCCATACCATGTTCTTTCAGTTATTCAAAAAAAAAAAAAAAAAACACACAGAGCATCTATTTGGCAGGCACTCTTCAGGGACTGGGGAGACAGCAGTGACACAAACCAGACCTGGCCCCTGCCCTCAGGGAGCTCAAGTAGAGCTCTCAAGTAGAGGCACATGCTGCACTTAGGGTTGCAGTCCTAGCACTGCACCAGCTGGCAACATAAATTCTAGTCTATTAGCTCATTACCTAATGATAGCACACAGCTCTTCAGCCCAAGACCAGGTACTGTTCTAAGCATTCCCACACAGAGCTCCTGAGGTAGGGGCTAGTATTATCTCCATAGTGAGACGGAGAATTTAAATAACTTGCCCAAGGCCTCAAAGTGAGTTAGGGATGGAGCTGGGATTTGAACCTCACCATTTGCCCTATAAACTATGCTATGCTATGAACAAGTGAATGAAGACCATTTCATTGGTGTTTTAGTGCTATGGCCCCCAAATAGCTAATTTAAAATTATTTTCTTGGTTGCTTTTGTGGTCCCATTCATACCCCAAATTTCTGCTTTTGCTTAGTCTAACATGTAACCAACACTTTATATCCAGAATATGCTCAACATTTAAGGTTAGTTCTTTCTCATTAATGTGGAAAATGGATTGGTAGTCAATGAAAGAATAAGCTGTTGTTAGCTATTATTCTTCAAATAAATGTGATGGCTTTGTTTTGATTGCCTGAGGTTTAAACAATTAAGATGCTCAAGATAGGACTTTGCTTACTGCACTGTTGTACTTACCTACACACTGCTCTCCTCGCTTCTGATACCCCGGAGGGCACTGACAGGCAAAGGAACCTCGTAAGTTGATGCACACTTGGTCGGCTCTACAGTTGTGTGTCCCTGCAGTGCACTCATCTATGTCTGTTAAAGACATGCAGCAAAGAAGGAGTTTGAGTCGGTTGTGAAGATGTTATTTCCTCTGTTTTGCTGTCATACTTTTCTTAAAGAAACTAAGTTTTTACTTTATTCTTAAAACATTATAATATTGATATATTGAAAATGTTTTAAATTATAAATTATTTCAAGTTTGGGGAAGTAATTTCACAGATACCAGTGTGTACCACTCAGATTTAACAAATGCTAATATTTTGCTATGCTTGCCTCAGATCATTTAATTTTGTTAAGAAATGAAACATCTGAGATATAGCTGAAGCCTTACTCTATCCTCATCCCTTTACCACGTTCCACTAACCCAGAGGGACGAATCTTTCCGTGAGATGTTTTTATATTTCTGTTATACAGATATGCACCCATTAGAATATACAGTATTGTTTTGTTTTAAAATGTAAATAAATTGTATGATATTTGCTTTTTCACCCAGTATGTCACATTTGAGATAATTTCTATTGGCAAATCTCTAAAAATCTGCCTAATAACTGGGTATAAATCAAACTTTAATGTTATGCATTCCTTATTGCTGTTCTTTTTCCCTTTTTTTTTTGCAAACTTTTGCATTACTTTAGTGTAATATGAATGTATAAACCTTTCATTGCAAATTTCAAAATGCGAAGGATTCAATTTGATCATAATCCTCCAGGAGAGAGAATCTGGTATAGTTTAAAGTACATATTTTCCCAAAGCATTTCATTTCTGGGGATAATTTACTAACTGTGCCTTAAGGAGTAGGTAGATTATAGTTCTAGAAAAGCAAAAAATGCTCAGTCATAATTTAATGAACCTGTTATAACAAATTTATTTGGGATCAAAATCTGATGTGAATCTGTATGTGTGCATTCATATTACAGTAATTTATAAGTGAAATTTAATTTTGCCCTATCTACACCACCTTTGCATTCATTCAGATCTCGCATATTATGAAGTTAAATAGCACAGATGAAAGGATTATGTATTCTGGCATTCTTCAACAACTGAAGACACTAAGCTTTGTTCAAAAATATCATAAAACTCGTAATTCGTAGATGAGAAATTTTGCATAAAACTGAGGAAGGCTTAGAGGGCCTTTGATCATCACTGTGGTAGACCCACAGTGGTGCTTTGGAAGATATAATGGGCCAAGAATCAATAGAAAAAATGAGCCATTAGAATTTATTCAGTTCCTGCCTTCCCTTTAAGAAGCTCAGAGAGCAGCGGCTCCTGGTGTATTGCCTTTCATCTTTCTATATTCCCAAGAAGAATTGCTGCACTTACACTACCGAGTGTAACAATGTAGGAAGTTGTTCTCAGATATCGGCTTCCAATTAGCTGTGTGTGGAAATGATAAGAGGCATTCTTTCCAAAAGAAAGAGGGAGGGAAGATGAAAAATACTCTAGGGACGTATGGCTGTTTATTGGATGATAACCTATAAAAGCATCTATTACATAATTCTTTGAACCTGGTTTTAAAGTTGTGGTGAATTTTTTTGTCATTGCTTTTTATTTTTTGTTTTGAAATCTATTAATATTATTTTCAAATCAGTAGTTATAACTGTCCATTTTAGGTAGTATGAAAAGGTGCAGTCATCTTGCTTTAAAATTATCTGCTCTTTTTTTGGTCTTTTATTATTTTCTCATATACGCTTGATGAAAACATTTCTACTGGGGTTTCTTTCAGAGTTTTATGACTCGCTAATGCAGAAATGACAACAGAATTCCTATTGTTTTATGTCAAGAACATTTGCCAGCATTTGCGGTGATAACAGCCCTGAGAGATATGGCAATGTGAGATTCAGATGTGGCAAGTTTCCTCAGTACATGCTGGCGGAAGATCAAGGGCGCAGGCTGGCTGCTGCATTTTCTAAGGGAGGCCTCACCAGTGAGTGCGGCTTTTCTTCCCGAGACATCTCTCTGCAAACTGCCTCCACCCCATTGCATTCCTGATGTCCTACAATTTCCTTCCTACTTTCTTGTCGTTCAATTCTAAGTCGCTTTGAAAAATAAGCTAACATTTCCAGTGAAATTAATATATCATTAAATAGATTCTAAACATGAAAACCATGCTACCTGGATCTACTCCTTCTTAAGAACCAGCTACATTTACTTTTTGAGAAAGGTTATTTAATTAAAATATTAGATGAGTTAGAGTAATTTAATAAAAATAAACAAAAAATAAAATACCACTGCCTCCATTGCTGCTATATTCTTTCCATTTCTCTATCAAAAAACAATCTAAACTGTAATAGGACTCACCTCACCTAGAATGATGTTTTTTATACACTTTCTTCTACTTTATACACTTTCTTCTACTTACCTAGACTCACTTATTTTTAATTCTTTCTGATGGGAAACCTCCTGAAATTCAATAAAACACAGTTGCGTGAAATCCTCTTTCAAGAAATTATTCCAAAGGAGTTGAGTGCATGCTTCATCGTATGCCTTGAGCTGGATCTACTAGTAAATGAACTGACTATATTTTGATTTATGGCTTTTCTGACTCGAGTTTAGAATATTTATCCTCTCCTTTGCCCTTAGCAGCTTATCTAATGCTGAAGGATATATAGATAGACTGAATTTCTTTGAACTATCTTCAATTGTACCATCAATTTTATTAGTTTATTTAAATACACAATTTTATTATTTTGAAAGTGTGCTTTGAGATCCTTTTTTTACATTTATTTTTATTATTTATTTATTTATTTATTTTTTTTGAGGAAGATTAGCCCTGAGCTAACATCTGCCACCAATCCTCCTCTTTTTTTTGCTGAGGAAGACTGGCCCTGAGCTAACATCTGTGCCCATCTTCCTCTACTTTATATGAGGATGCATGCCGCAGCATGGCTTGACAAGCAGTGTGTAGGTCCGCACCCAGGATCCAAACCAGTGAACCCCAGGCCACCGAAGTGGATCATGTGAACTTAACTGCTGTGACATGGGGTCAGCCCCTTGAGATAGTATTATTACTTATTCATATGTCTATAGAAAGTCATATAAGAATTGTTATACATTGTTAAACGTTTGTATGCTTGTTTTTTTCTACTTGTATGCATTTATATTTCTCTTAAATATCAGCAAGTTCAATGTGATAAGAAAATCACTAAAATATACAACTATGTCAGAAACTCAGAGCAGAATATCCATCCCTGTGCAGATGCACCAGAAGACCTAGCTCTCCCAGGTGTGTTTATGAAAGCCCTCTGTGGTGGGAATATCTGTACTGGTCAAAGAAATGCTTTATTCATAAGGGAAATTACTTAGGTCAGTCATGATTTTCCTGAGAATCTAGGAAAAAGTACTCTGGGGAGAGGAGTTTTTGTTTTGTTTTTAAACTGTCTATAAGTTACCTGTGACAGTTACGCTCACTAGGTCCTCTAGGCAGTCAGTTAACACACTCCCTGGGCCCTGGACCCAAGCTCCTTGAGGATGGGGTCTATGATTTACTTCTTCCTATATTCCCAGCACCTAGCAGAGTATATGAAACATGATAGGTTTTCAACAAATATTTGTTCAATAAATAGATGAATGAATCATGATTGTTTGCTGAGAACTGATACCTAGAGTTTAAGGGAAGCAGGATCAGTGTTTTATCTCACGGAACTAAACATTTACAAGGCAGAGTAACAGGCAAGATGTAAGAAACATGGCAAAACCAGTAAGACGTCAGCAAAAGGAAATGGATAGAAAGCAATGGAATTGGGAAGTTCAGAAGATAGGGGGAATAAGGCAGCATCAGAGGTGGGAGGCCCAGGAAGGTTTGCCTGAGGAGGTGAATTTTGAACTGAATTTTGAAGAAGGTGAGGTACATGGATTGGAAGAAATAGGAGGCTATTTCTAGGCAGAAGACAAGTCACATTAGGAAACAATGATAAGACAAAAGTGGTTTGCATGAGAATTGCAGACAGCTGGAATCAGCATGGAGGGGCCTCCCTCATGTGTATGAGGAGCCTGGTGCAGTGCCTGGTTGAAAGCGCTCATAAAATGGTAGCTCAAGTTATGAGCAAAATTCAGGGCCTTAAAGGTGGGATTAAAGTTTGGATTGAACACCACAGGGAGCAGCTCTGAACTATGTAGACATAGCCTAATGTAAACATTACCAAAGAACAAAATAATAGAATGTGCTTCCTAAAATATCACAACACGTAAATCAACTCATATTTCATCATTCTAAGGAGTTAAGAATAGCTAATGGCAATATTTGGTGATTCCCTCATTTTTCAAAAATGTGCCCACATTCTCCCTCCTAGTGATTTATACTATTGTAGGTCCCTCTCTTGCTGATTTTGGCACCATCATTGCTTTAAATAATCCAGTCTGATCTTCGCTCAGCTCTCACTCCTAGCCTCTTTATCACACTGACCCCCAGTCTATGGAACTGCATATTTGGTTTTTCTCTCAAAGTTAATGGAGGCAACTGTGTCCACATCTTTGTGGTGTCCATTAAGTCCCTGCTTAGGCCCTCATTCGCTATGTTTTTGGCTCCTTCCCTTCAGTCTGACTCATATTTCCCAAACCCCTGACTCATGCTGCTTTCTCTCTCTTATGCAACATTTTAATCTCTGCAATGTTCTTTCCATAATTTGATAACTTACCACGACATGGAGTCACTTCAGTGTATTTTCATGAGCAAAAACTTTCTGTACCTTAAATGCTGTCGATTATCACTTAGACTTTTCTAATTTGTGCTGCTTTAGGTTTAAGGAATAATCAGAACTACTTTGGAATAAGCCACCATCGACCAGTAATACGAATGCACTGAAATAGGGGGAAGAGGATTCAAATTATTTTGATTCTGTCACAGCCTATGTGACCTCTGTCAGAGCCATGGTATCAATTCTTTTTCTCTCTGTTTCTCCATCTGTAAAACAGACTGTCTATCTTTAATGATAATGCACAGATTTAAAAAAGTGTTCAGAAACATCAAAATATATCTTTTTGTTTCCAGATCGCAAAACCCTTAGAATAAAATAACAACATCTTTACTAGTTCTG